TGGTGATGGGTGGGGTGAGAGCCCGAGAATGTCCCCAAGAAGTGGCGGATGTGGTGGAACTCTCTGAGGAGGTGTCCCCAAGAAGGGCTGGGCCCGTGGGGTGGGACCCGGGGGGATGTCCCCAAATGGGCCTGGGATGTCCTATAGAATGTCCCCAAGAGGGGCTGTGACTATAGAGTGGGACCCGGCGGAATGTCCCAAAGCGGGACTGGGTCCGTGGGGGGATGTCCCCAAGAGGTGACGGGATCTCCTACAAAATGTCCCCAAGAGGGGCTGTGACTACAGAGTGGGATCTCCTGTAAAATGTCCCCAAGTGGGGAATGTTCCCATAGGGTGACACCTCTGGGTGATGTCCCCAAGCGGGGCTGGGATGTCCTATAGAATGTCCCCAAGTGGGGAATGTTCCCGTAGGGTGACACCTCTGGGTGATGTCCCCAAGCGGGGTTTGTAGGGTGGAACCACCAGCGATGTCACCGATCCCCACGGCCGTGCCGGGGGTTGGGTCCCTCCGTGGGACCGGAGGGTGGCCCCTGCCACTCGGGAGGTGACAATGGCCTGTCCCCGATCTGTCGGGTGCCCTGCGGGGACTGTCCCCACCCGGCAGGTGACCCATGGCCTGTCCCGGTGTCCCTGTGTCCCCTCCCCGCTGTCGCCGGGCCGTCTCTCCTGCGCCCACGGGTGCCCTGTGGGGACTGTCCCCACCCGGCAGGTGACCGGTGGCCCGTCCCGGTGTCCCCGTGTCCCCGCCCCGCTGTCCCTGCTGTCCCCGTGTCCCCGTCCCGCTGTCCCCGCTGTCCCCGTGTCCCCATCCCGCTGTCCCCGTGTCCCCGTCCCGCTGTCCCCGCTGTCCCCGTGTCCCCGCCCCGCTGTCCCCGTGTCGCCAGCCCTCACCTGCGGGGCAGGCAGTGCTGGATGCGGGCGATGAGCCCCAGGGACGGGTCCACCTGGCAGTAGCAGGAGCCGGCCGTGGCCATCACCACCACCATCCAGCTGGACGGCGACGCGGGGTACACGCCCGTCAGGAAACTGTTCTGTGGGCAGCGGCGACAGCGGCGACAGCGGCGACAGCGGCGACAGCGGGGTCAGAGCGGGACGGGCAGCGGCAGCCCCGAGACAGGGACAGTGACATCCCGGGACAGGGACAGTGACATCCCGGGACAGGGACAGTGACATCCCGGGATAGGGACCGCGACACCCCGGGACAGGGACAGGGACACCCCGGGACAGGGACAGGGACAGTGACACCCCGGGACAGGGACAGGGACAGTGACATCCCGGGACAGGGACAGTGACATCCCGGGACAGGGACAGGGACATCCCGGGACAGGGAACTCCGGAACGGGGGACAAGGACCGCGACATCCCGTGACAGGGACAGAGACACCCCGGGACAGGGACAGTGACACCCCGGGACAGGGACAGGGACATCCCGGGATAGGGACAGTGACTATCAGAGGGAACCCAAACTCCGGGATATAGAGCGGTGTCCCAGGGTGGGACAGGAAACTCCGGGATGGGGGACAAGAACCGAGCACCCCAGGACAGGGACAGTGACATCCCGTGAGAGGCACAGTGACATCCCAGGACAGGGACAGTGACATCCCGGGGGACCCGAATCCCCGGGCGGGGCTCAAATCCCGGGATACGGAGCGGTGTCCCGGGGGAAAACGGCCACGCGGAGGGACACAAGCAGCCCCGGGGCGACAAGGACTGGCCACCCCGGCACAAGGACAGTGACATCCCAGGAGAGGCACAGTGACATCCCAGGACAGTGACAGCGACATCCCGGGGGGACCGGATCCCGGCGCGGGACTCAAATCCCGGTATCCCGGGGGAAAGCGGCCATCGCGGAGGGACACAGGCAGCCCTGAGGCGACAAGGACCGGCCACCCCGCGACAGTGACAATGACATCCCGGGGGACCCGAATCCCCGGGCGGGGCTCAAATCCCGGGATACGGAGCGGTGTCCCGGGGGAGAGCGGCCACCGCAGGGGGGGAGACAGGCAGCTCCGGGCGACAAGGACCGGCCACCCCGCGACAGTGACAATGACATCCCGGGGGACCCGGATCCCCGGGCGGGGCTCAAATCCCGGGATCCGGAGCGGTGTCCCGGGGGAAAGCGGCCACCACAGGAGGGACAGGAAACCCGGAACGGGGGGACAAGGACCGGCCACCCCGGGACAGGGACAGTGACATCCCGGGAGAGGCACAGTGACATCCCGGGACAGGGACAGTGACATCCCGGGACAGGGACAGTGACATCCTGGGACAGGGACCGCGACATCCCGGGATATAGAGCAGTGTCCCGGGGCGGGGCTCATGTCCCGGTGTCCCGAGGGAAAGCGGCCACCGCGGGGGACAGAAAACCCCGGGACGGGGACAGTGACATCCCGGGACAGGGACCGCGACCTCCCGGGATATAGAGCGGTGTCCCGGGGTGGGACAGGAAACTCCGGGATGGGGGACAAAGACCGGGCACCCCGGGACAGGGACAGTAACATGCCGGGAGAGGCACAGTGACATCCCAGGGCAGGGACAGTGACATCCCGGGACAGGGACCACCACATCCCGGGACAGGGACTGCGACACCCCGGGACAGGGACAGTGACACCCCGGGATAGGGACCGCGACATCCCGGGGGGACCCGGATCCCGGGCGGGGCTCAAATCCCGGGATACGGAGCGGTGTCCCGGGGGACAGCGGCCACCGCAGGGGGGGGACACAAGCAGCCCCGAGGCGACAAGGACCGGCCACCCCGGCACAGTGACAATGCCACCCCCGCAGGTGACAGAGCCCACCTTGGCGCGGACCAAGCGCTTTTTCCACGAGTGGACAGCGGCCAGGTAGAGCTGGCGCACGGCCTCGCGGCTCAGCTGGAAATCCAAACCCTCGGGGGTGACCGTGAACTGGAAAGCCACGGCCTGGTGAGCTTCCGCCATCCTGGCGACAAGCGGGTGGCACCTGCGGGGACAGAGGGGACGTGGGTGAGGGGACGGCCACCACCGGAAAGGTGTCACCCGGGGGTGGTGGCAGGAGGAAAGGGCAGTGGGTGCCCCGTCCGATGTCACCCCGGGGCGGTGGGTGCCCTCCTCGGTGTCACCCGGGGGTGGTGACACGGGGACGGGGCAGTGGGTGCCCTGTCCGGTGTCACCCGGGGGTGGTGGCACCGGGAAAGGGCAGTGGGTCCGGTGTCACCCGGGGGGGGTGGCACGGGGAGGGGGCTGTGGGTGCCCTGTCCGGTGTCACCCGGGGGTGGTGGCACGAGGAAAGGACAGTGGGTGCCCCGTCCGATGTCACCCCGGGGCGGTGGGTGCCCTCCTCGGTGTCACCCGGGGGTGGTGGCACGGGGAGGGAGCTGTGGGTCCGGTGTCACCCAGGGGTGGTGGTGACACGGGGACCGGGCGATGGGTGGGGTGTCACCCGGGGGTGGTGGCACGGGGAAAAGGCAGTGGGTGCCCTCCTCGGTGTCACCCTGGGGCAGTGGATGCCCTGTCCGGTGTCACCCGAGGGGCGATGACACGGGGAGGGGGCAGTGGGTGTTCTCGGTGTCACCCGGGGGTGGTGACACGGGGAGGGGGCTGTGAGTGCGGTGTCACCCGGTGGTGGTGACACGGGGAGGGGGCTGTGGGTGCCCTGTCTGGTGTCACCCAGGGGTGGTGGCACGGGGAAAGGGCAGTGGGTCCGGTGTCACCCGGGGGTGGTGGCACAGGAAGGGGGACAGTGGGTGCCCTGTCCGGTGTCACCCAGGGGTGGTGGCACAGGGAGGGGGACAGTGGGTGCGGTGTCACCCGAGGGGCGATGACACAGGGAGGGGGCAGTGGGTGCCCTGTCTGGTGTCACCCAGGGGTGGTGGCACGGGAAGGGGGCAGTGAGTGCCCTCCTCGGTGTCACCCGGGGGTGGTGGCACGGGGAGGGGGACACTGGGTGCCCTGTCCGGTGTCACCCGAGGGGCGATGACACGGGGAGGGGGCAGTGGGTGTTCTCGGTGTCACCCGGGGGTGGTGGCACGGGGAAAGGGCAGTGGGTGCGGTGTCACCCCGGAGTGGTGGCAGGGGGAAAGGGCAGTGGGTGCCCCGTCCGATGTCACCAGGGGGCGGTGGAACGGGGACCGGGCAGTGGGTGCGGTGTCACCCGGGGGTGGTGGCACGGGGAAAGGGCAGTGGGTGCGGTGTCACCCGGGGTGGTGGCGGCACGGGGAGGGGGACAGTGGGTGTCCTGTCCGGTGTCACCCGGGGATGGTGGCACGGGGAGGGGGACAGTGGGTGCCCTGTCCGGTGTCACCCGGGGCAGTGGGTGCCCTCTCTGGTGTCACCCGGGGTGACGGTGACACGGGGAAAGGGCAGTGGATGCCCTGTCCGGTGTCACCCGGGGGTGGTGGTGGCACAGGGAGGTGGCAGTGGGTCCGGTGTCACCCAGGGGTGGTGGCACGGGAAGGGGGCGGTGGGTCCGGTGTCACCCAGGGGTGGTGGTGACACGGGGA